GGGTGGGTGGGTGGGTGGGTGGGTTCTAATGGTCAGAGCAGGTGGTAATGGCAATGAGTTCTGATTGACGATGGTGCTGAAGAGTCAAATCAGTGGACATCCGCGGTTTCCGCTTCCTTGCTTCTTCCCCTCTCCCTTCTCTCTTACTGCATCCCATCCTGCATCGACATATCTTGCTTGCTAGTTTGCTGGATTGCCGTCCTTGTTTGAAATCTCTACCATTAGCCCTCTATGCTCGCGAAACTAATGGAGGGGCAGGGGGGTTATGTTGCTCAAAAATGACTGTCATGAAGTAGCCTAGCGTTCTCAAGGTTCCAGACCCACGTTTGGACCCACCGGCCTGTCTGGTCGGATCCTGGCTGCTGGTGTTGGCGAGTCGCTCTCGCACCTGCAAGCTGACATTTCAAAATCTGTACGGCAGCTCCAGGGAAGGTTGATCTACATACCTGATGCAAGCCTCGCTTGAGAGCCACGGGCTGGGAGGAAAGCTCCAGGACTGGTGACACAGGACGTGAGGAGACAGACGATATACAACCAGAGGAGCACTCAGCCAAGACAACCCCCAAGAATCTAGCCCAAAAAGGCCCTCCGAGCCGATGCCGGAAAATCCTCCCCCCCTCCCAGGATCCCAGGCTCACTCCGTGAGGTAATAAACGAAGCTCCCTCCAGGGAGCTTTCGTGATTCGCATAGAACAAGAATGCTGCTGAATCTGAGCAGAAGATAAGTTCAAGTGAAACATCCATGACACTGCAAGTCTCCCAGTGCAAGAAAAGACGACGGGGCAAAAAGGATTGGAGCAGGCATGCAGACACATTATGGCTGCCAAGGTGCGTACAGCTGCTACCAATCCAGCAAAAGTTCCATCCCTTTGAGCCGGCTGAGGGCCACGAGGCTGGCAGGCAACTCGTATGTCAGCTTTGATTGCCTCAGCGTGATGCATTATCCACTCAGCCCTCACAAAACAAGAGCTGCCTGAAGCTGGCCTCCACATCCCAGCCACGGCGAGAGCTCCAATAATCTGCCGGATTCGTGGCTGGATCTATGGCCAGAAGAGCACCTCAGGTAGGATCGTTGGTCTTCATACTGGAGAGCAGTCCTCACTGTCTCGCAGTGGTTGGCCAAGAGGCCCAATTCCGCTGGGTGGGATCTCGGTGCTGAAGGCCGTGCCATGATGATGGTTCTTTAGAGTCACATCTCCCCATGCCGCGCAAGCCAACAGCAACTGACCCATAAGGGAGGCGTTGTCTCTCAAGATACTACACACAAGTTCAAAGCTAGCAGCTAGCAGCGGAAAACCCTTGAAAAGCCTAATGCGTCGGATTGACTTGCAGCTTCGTTGTTGCTTGTTTCTCGATGAAGGCGAGCAAACGAAGAAACTAAGTGTAGTTTTTCTTGGCAGCTCAACACGTCATGCCAGCTTGAGCCGAACAATTGCGGACTCAGTTTGCGGTGCTTGCAGCGTGTAACTTGTGCAGCATCGAGCATACCGCTGCCCGTGCCTGGCCAAGTTTCAGCGCCCCTCTGGCCACACTAGAGAGGAGAAATCTCAACTCCTTGCAGGTCTCTGCCTGCAGAACTTGAAATGACAGGACGATGCGTCTGCTGGGTGAGGCAAATGCTCATCCCAAGTCCGTGCTCACATATTTCACATGCCGACCTGCTAGAGCCCGCTGCAAGCCCTGCATGCCAAGCGTGGGGACAAGACTGCGAACCGGAGAATGGGCCTGCTTGCGAAGATCCACCATGCGGAAGTCAACCTTTGACTTCCATAGCGGACACGCGAGAGCGCCAAAACAACTCCAGTACATTTGGCTGATGTTTTATTCAGAACACGCTCTAAGGTGATCGCCAACGCAGATCGCACGTTGTGGGCAGCATCCTGCATGAGACAGCAGGGGCACGACACATAGCCCTCCGCAGCTTGTAGTGGGATGTGCCTTCGCTCTCTCGGAAGACAAGTGGTCCACCTGCAACTGACACATGACAATGCGCCAAAACCTGGACTGTCAGTGGCTTGTGGACAAATCGCTCAGGGCCGTGGCGGCGGCGATGACTGTATTGACGGCCCAAGCTTGTTTGTTCCGTCACTGCTTTCCCTTGATTCACTGCTTTCCATTCAGCGCCTGATTACAGGCGGTTACACCGTTACGAGCAGTACCCCAGTACGTGTCTTGAACCTTGTGCTTTGTATGTCGAGGTTTCGATGGAGTCACAAAATCTGTGTAGAGCAGATGCAGTGACGCATATTATGCAGCATGATGCAGCATGCAAGACTCTGGCCTTCGCTACATGTTCATCCACAGAGTCGATCTTGGATATGACGCCCCGGACCTCTGCAACCGCACATGCGCCGCCAGGTTGAAGCAGCTAATTGGAAAAGACCCGCCTCCTCTGTAAACGTTTCAAGCTTTGCATCCACGTACTTACGAAGCGAACAGAGGTCCTCACCCAAGACCTGAAAGGCAAGCTGCTTGCTCAGGCCCTGGGTGTCTGGCTGGCATGCCTGGGACATCCTTTGCAGCTCGCGTTGAAAGCGATCTTCTATGGCGTCACCTTCAACGACTATCACGGCGACATCGTTCAGAAGCACATGCCGCAGCATGGTAAATACGACGTAGCGGATCACTCCTTTAGAGGCTTTTCTGCGAAACCTGATTGAAAAAGAAAGCGAGTTGTAGGAGCAGGAAGGGCGGGAGCGGGAGGAAGATAGGAAGGGGGAGGGCGAGGAAGGTGGAGGGTGAAAGGGAAGGGATGGGTAGAAATGGGAGGGTTGGTTGAATGGTCCAGGAAGGGGGAATCACAGCCACGGCCCGCAGCAACTACCTCGAAAGGATGAAAATCCCAATGCTGGCATCCAAGGAGTGTAGGCATACCTCTCTCGTGAACGTTGGCGCCATGTCCTTGTCAACTACCGGTGACTCACCATTTGTACCATCTATGTTTGGCTGAGCATGAACGGAAGATCATACAGGCCAAAGGCATGGCGCTTGGGCAGTGAAGCGGTATAGCGTTGCTACCAGGACAACAGACAACCTTGTCACTCATGTTTGCACCACATACATGCACACGTCGCACAATCCAGCCGTGAACAATTGCCAAGAACGCAGAGATCTAGTCATGTTCAAAGTGCAAGCATGTTCAGGAAAAGGACGCAACCTAAATCGGGTTGCATGGAAAGCAACGACTGGGAAGCTTATCAAAGTCTGTGACAAACTTTCCACATGCCGATCTGGTTCATTGCAACCATTCTTGTTGCATCATGCGCATGTCAGATGCTCAGCCAGGCAGCTAGGTCAGCTAGGTCGCCGGCGCGCACATGCTGCCAGATGCTCTCGCCGTTCCAAAGCCTCGATATCCCCGCAACAGCTTCCAACAGCCACTGAATGCTTGCAAGTGGTACATGCTTGTTGGGCATCTGCTAGCATACGCCAGCTCAAGCATCAGCACAGCTTCAGATCTTGGAATGGCACTGCATCCACTGATGTGTTGAGCTCTTTCTTCCAATCCTGCTGCTCCACACCTTTGCAGATGCATATCATGATCCTGCATGTCCCTTGCTCGTCACGACCTAGAACTAGACAATGAAGGAAAGACAAGGATATTGAGCAGTTGCCAAGATCCAGAAACAGGCCAGCGCGGACACCAATAGTGCGGGTACTTTGGCTTGCATAGAGAAGCCCGACGGTGCGCAGACAACAACCCGGATTATAGGATAGAACAGGACAACTGCCCTGCTCCAGCGAGTTGTAGCGGTCATTTGCGCAGCAGGTGGATTTCCTCTACATTGAAGTTTGCAATTAGTTTGCAGCCAGATCTGCAGTTTGAAGCCTGCATCTTCTTTCGGAAAACGCGCATCACACGCCTATATTCGAGGGCAAGATTTGAATCTGCCTCAGGAGAGATGTATGTAGGTGTGCATGCATCCACGCATGTATGTATTATGTCTTACATACATACGTGCGCACGTACATAGGTGCGTAGGTGCGTAGGTATGTAGGGATGTGGGTATGTAGGTAGGAACGTAGGTAGGAAGGTAGGTAGGCAGGTAGGTACTTAGGTATGTAGGTATGTAGGTAGGCATGTCTGTCTGTCTGTATGTCTGCATGTCTGCATGTCTGTATGCACTGTATGTAATGAATGTAATGTATGACCAAGAGGACTGACACAGGATGTCCCAAACAGAGATTGGTAAAGTACGCAAGAGAGCCGGCAAATCAATGCGCACAGCCTGTCGTAAAGAGGCACGGCACTCTTGCTTGTAGGCTCCACAGTCGGAGGCCAGACGAAGGATGAGAAACGAGATTGAGACTGACCGGATTCAACGAAACGCAGCTATGAAATGCTGCTCTTGCGACTAAATTGGCCCTGCGCATGTGATCTAGGGCTTCGTTGCAAAAATGAGATGCAGACGAAAGGATGCTTCCAACTTGTAGACAGCAGCAGCCGCAGCATCCTGCTAACGGCGTTTAAACTAGAGCAACTTGCAGCTTGCTCAAGAAGAAACACTTACACACTCCTGGCAGATTGCATGAGCACATTCACCAACTATCAACAGCGCAGTCAGCGCAGTGCTGCGTTGATGGCTTGTACTACTGTAGTACTACAGGTGCACGTGCCTCTGCTGATCGGAGAAAATCCGCGCTTGCAGTCTCGAACTTTCTTTCCAGGGCAACGACCTCCATGGCATGAAAGAAGCCAACACAGCAGCAGATAGTTGAACTCAAACGTCTCAACTGTCTTCAGCATTGCCATGTGGACTGAGGCGCATGGCGGTATGCTAAGCGCTGGCTCGATCGCTGGTCACATAAGCTTTGCCGGTGAGGCTGGAACCCACCCGTTTCAGCCTCCCTTCCTTGCCTCCTAAGAACGGATAGCGTTCGTCAGTGATGTCTTAGCTCGACAGGCTGCCAACAGCCTCTCGTGACCCTTCACATCCGTTCACCGAGCCCATCCAACAGAGGATGGCCAATCTCTTTGGGGGGTTCGAAGCATTGACTGTCAGACTTCGGGATATTCTGAAGACCACTGTAGTGAATGCATCATCCCGCCATATCCTGCCCGCCGGCCCAGGAATTATGCCATGCAAATGGCAAAAAAAAGGCCAGCCCTTGTCTTTTGTAAGAATCGCTGCATGGCCTGAACTGACCAGCCTCAAAGTTCCTGAAAGCAGTCCTGAAACTGGGATGGATAGATTATAGAGTGTACCGCAACTTCTCCTCCTAGGATTGGCAAACCATGCCGAAGTCATGCAGTCTGCTATAAAACTCTTGTACCTGTGTTCCCGCCTGTGGCGCAAGACACGGAGTTTGCACGTGTCTGGCAAAGCCATAAAGCATGAAGAGAAGCATCCTTTCAATTCAACAGCAGCTTCAGCAGAACAAAATGAAAGCGATTGACACTCGGCCTCCGCGTGAGCAAACTTGCCTCTTTATAGGACGAAAGCATTACTTCCATCTTGATGGACGAATGCATTATTTCCTAGAGCAAAACTTTTGTGGAAAAATGTAGTGGCCAAAAAGTATCTTCGCGTTTGACATATTTTCGTGGGACTTAAAGAAATGTATTTTTTGCACATGTTGCATGACCCAAACGGATTCGTTTTCGATTTCTTAGAAAATCTGTGTTGGGCATGGGTGGACTGAAGAGTTACATGCGTGTGAGCTTGTCCATGTGGTGTCCTCTTCAACCAGCATGTGCACGTGAAGTTTTGCTCGAAAGTAACAGTCTTCCTAGCAGACAGCCCAATTGTGTGATTCTCCTACAGGTGAGCTGCTGTGGATGCCCACCTCCCGCTGCCATTCCAGCTCTGACGGGGGAGGGTCGGGTAAGGCAGGGCCTTGTGGTGAGTTCAGAGCCATCTCTGGCGCCGGACGCCCCGTGGATAGAGGAGAAGGAAGAGAAGAAGGAAAAGAAGGGCGCGGCAGCCCAAGGACATTAGGTCCAGCCTGTGGACAGGCCTTGATCAGGTGATTCAAATTGGTAGCGGAGCCCGGCCCCTCGCGGACAACGCGAAAAGGGGGGTTAGGGCTCCGGACCATTCATGGCGAAACAGGAGCAGGGAAGCTCCAGCCAAGAAGACAGGCCATCTTCAATCTGGACACTGCTGCCAAGTTTTGATCCGTCGGTGGATGATCCCAGAGAATATCGGGATAAGGTCTTGTTCTTGCACAAGATATGTCCTGCACGAGACAAGAAGGCACAGCCTGGAGTCAGGCAAAGCTTCTTGATGCCTGCAAGCTTACGGATGCAGAGAATGGGGTCAATGTTCTCCTCAAAGCGTTGGCGACCTGGGATGAAGCAGCCGAACTTCAGACATACGAGAAGTTCGAGAGAGCGCTGTTCAAGACCCAGCAGAAGACCGATGAGACGACCATGAGCTATGTGAACCGGCCAACGGTGGCCTTCAGTGACATGGGGGAGAACCTCACGATGAAGGAGGCCCAGGTCTTCATTCTTCTTCGCCAGAGTGCTTTGTCAACAGAAGACAAACGCAAGGTCATCACCATCACGGGCGGCAATCTCGAAGCCTCCAAGGTGGAGCAAGCGATGAGAACATTGTCAACCAAGATTCTGACGACAGGAGCCGAAGTCAAGAAGAAGGTCTATCCCGTGAACTATGCCGACATCGAGGACGCCGAGGAGGCCAACTTCGTCGAGGATGGCCCGGATGATGAAGCTCTTGTTGCTCAGATGGCCGAAGATGGAGACGAAGACGCAATCTTCGTGTCCGAGTACTTGGGCCAGATTCTGGACTACATCCAAGAAATGCCGGAGTTGCCGGAGTGCTTCACGGCATACACTGCCGCTTGAGCTCGCCTTCGAGAAAGAGCACGAAGCCGTGGCTTTTGGCCTCCGTCCAACAAAGGACGCGGGAAGTCGAAGGGTGGTGGTGGCCGCAAGGTTGGAAAAGGGTTCACTCCAAGAAGGTCATTATCGGAAAGGATCGCAACTTCCGCACGCAGGGCTTGCGGCAAGGTTGGGCACTGGAAGTGGGAATGCCCAACCCGTGCTACATCGTCCAGCGCCCAAGGAGCTCAGGAAGTCAGCAACATCGCCATCAAGCACGACGAGAAGTTCAATGAGCCGGAGATCGTGGAGAACCTCCTGGAGGAGACTTTGACCGTCAAGGAGATGATCAATCAGCTTCGATACCCTCACCGAGATCCAAAGGCCCCCTCCTTAATTCAAGTGCAACACCAGTTGATGAACGGTCAGCGTGAAAACCTTGTTGGTCGTAATCTTATCCCGGGGTATTTTGTCAGTGACACGCGTGAGCATGCCCAGAATCCAATTGTGCAACTGTGCAAAAGATGGGGAAAGCTGAGGGAAGCAGATCATGAATGCGACATGGCACTGATTGTAGATAGGGCCGAGGTTGCTGTTTTGGACACAGGAGCCAGCAAGACCGTGGTCGGAAAAGAGAATCTGTCCTGAATCAGCTTTCGCCAGAGTTGAGGACCGGCATTCGGTCATCAAGTTCTCAGACGATGTTCCGTTTTGGAAACAATGGCACTTTTTCCGAGTCTGTTTTCGGTTTATGTTCCTTTGAGAATGGGGGGTTGGTTTCGAATTGAAGTGGTCGAAGGGAAGACGCAATTTCTGCTGTTTTACGGGGGCAACTGGATCGACTTTGAACAGGATGTCCTGCGGATTCCACGGTGGCAGCATGAAGTCCAGCTTGTTGTAGATAATAAAGGCCTGTATTTGATTGAGATGGTAGAGCTACTCGGGGCATTAAAGGGCAGAGAGAGAGAGAGAGAGAGAGAGAGAGAGAGAGAGAGAGAGAGACTCAGAGAGAGGGACGAGAGAAGAGCACCGTGAAGTTGGACACATCTGGGACACTTGCAGCCAGTGCTCCAGACATCGACGTCCCAGACTTGAACCAGAAGACTCAGTCAGTCTCCCAAGCTAGTGATAGCCATGGAGAGCTTCCTTGACCAGCCTCTCACTACGGATGCCGAGATCGCCCTGACGTACAGCAACGAGGTGGTCAATCGACCGACCGGCATTCGCACTCTCCGCGAATGGGGGGAGTACGAAGTCGACTCGGGGAAGCACAAGGATCAGAAGTTCCATCACATCTACGAGACGGATCCCGGGTACGGCAAGTATATACGAAACAGGCAGCTCACCAATCGATCAATCCTGAGCTACCGGAGCTACTACATCGCCAGGGAGCAGGCCAAGTGCCAGGGCAATCCCATGAGCCCAGGATCGGTGCCACTCCGCTCCTCCACGACTTCGGAGGCGACAGTGTTCTCGCAGACCGAGATGACAGCAGGCAGGATGAAGTCACCATCGCAACAAGATCAAAGACCAATTCCACCAGGAAAGCCAGTCACTCCGCGTGTGACGGGCGGAAGCAGTTCATCCAAGAGGGAGTCATCGTGGGCCGTCCTAGAGGAGACGCGCAAGCCCATGACGACCGAGCTGACACCATCGCGGGAGCAGGAGATCCGGACACAGATGGCTCTCCTTCAGAGGGAGCTGGACCAAGCCTCAGGGTCAAGCTAGAGCACAAGGCTGAGCAAATCCTGGACGCCGGGGATCAAGATTGCATTCTGTGTGCGTCTTGTGCAGCTAATCTAGAAGCCATGCAAAAGGGTCCAGCATCCAGAGAACTGTTCTCAGCACCGTGTTGGGAAGGTTCCCCCAAAGTTTCTGGAGGTTAAGATCGGGGATGGGGCATACGTAGGCGGATTCATGGAGGCTATTGGGGTAGACTATAGAAGGGTGATAGTCTCCAGAAGCAGTCTCCACGGTGCTCAGTATGAAGATGCGATTTGGCAGTACATGGATCAGAAACGACCTCGACATGTGTGGGCGAACGTAGGGATAAGGGGTCCTAATGAAGGGGAGTTAGAAAGGGTTGGTCAATTGTGTCATGAGTTGCATTCTGAACAGACAGCAAGGGGGGGTCATTTTCATGTTCGGTTTCACGGTGAACATGGGATGTGGAAACCGTTTCTTCCAGAGGTTTTTATGAGCACATATGAAACCCGGTATGACCCAAAAAGTCTAGGAATAAGTAGGAGGTACAGGGGCAACAACTTTCTTCAAGGGAGGGCAGTGCCTCAGACTACGTCGAAGAAATGCATTCCTTCCTGGACCACCGATATACGTCCTTACCTGGGCCCCACGTTCAGCTAGACAACCCGAAGGGAGCCCCGAATAAATTTCAGTATACAAGTGGTCTCGCAAGAAATGTAGCAAGCGTAGTCCATAAGATGAGCCCGGAGGCCCCCATGATCCATGAAGAGGTTTGTGCAACTGTACTTGACAAGCGCAATCCCAAAGAGGTTCGTGCCGAAGGGGAACATGCCATTAAGAGACGTAGATATCTGTGGAAGAGACCCCCTAGGAATGAAACAGGGTACAACCAAACTACAGAGACCTGGACCTCTATCTTCCGAAAACTTAATGCTAGAGTTCCCCGGGTAGGAAACTTCATCATTGCCCCCAGCGATGCACTCATCCAGAGCTGTGAACAACTGATCCCAGACATGAAGGTCCATCACGCAGAAGCATGCAGAGGAACTAATCGTTTGCGAATACCCCAACTTAAGGATGATCCCGAAGAAATTACACACCGGTTTACTGTTGTGATTCATCGTCAAACAGGAGAGATAGAAGAGCTAGGTCCCGTAGAGCACTGGGCAAAACTTCCCAAACACAAACAGCAAGGATCAGGGAAACCGGCAAAGATTTCATTGACAGTATTCGGCAATCAGACCCAAGTTGAGCCCAGACCCGAAAGTACAATAAGTCACCCCAGTTCAAGAGCAAACCCAAGTAGTTCAACGGAGACACCCGATGTAGAGATGCCCTCTCAAGCAGATGCTCCAAAAGAAGCCTGGGGTGCGCCTCCTATAGCCAATCATGGTCCGGGATTTCTTAGTCTCAGTCCCCGGGAACAATCAGAAATCCGTAGACTACATCACAATCTGGGTCATCCTGATGGAGATAGGTTTGTAAGGTACCTCAGACAAGGGGGGGCCTGTGATGCTGTTTTAAAAGGGGCTAGGGATTATCAGCGCGACGCATGTGTAGAGTCGAAAAGGGGGTTCATGACATCAAGACCGGCTGCCATACATGACAACATCTCCTTTAACACGAAGGTTGGACTTGACCTCGCATCCTGGAAGAATGCAAAAGGGAAAGAATTCAGCTTTGTCCACTTCATCGACGAGGGGACGATGTTTCATTTGGGAGCTGAGTGTCTTCAGGGAACAGAGAGTGTCATGGAGCACTTTGAAAATTTGTGGGTCAACTGGGCTGGATATCCCCAAGAAGTATATGTAGATCCTGGGGGGGAGTTCGTGTCAGAATCATGGGTCACTCGCACGCAAGAAGCAGGCATCAAAGTGCACATGTCAGCCAGTGATTCCCATTGGCAACTTGGGCGCGCCGAAATTCATGGAAGCACCGTAAAACAAATGTTGAGTCGCATGGATCTTGAAGAGTCGATTGAAAGTTCTGTTGCTTTCCAACGAGCCATGAGACAAGTCTTTCACGCCAAGAACACTTCAAGCAGAGTTGACGGCTACACTCCACAGCAAGCAGTGCTAGGAATAGCTAGCAAGTTGCCTGGTTCCATACTGTCGGACGGTGATGCATCAACGCGTGCGCTTGCTGACAGCAATACTCCAGAGGGCCAACGTTTTCTCCACCAATTACAAGTTCCTGAATCGGCGCGGCGAGCCTTCATCCAGGTCGACAATAGCGCAAGTTTTCGCAGAGCTCTCCTTCGAAGGACGCGTCCTTCCAGAAATGTTTGGGAAGCTGGTGATCTTGCGCTATACTGGCGCCGGAGAGGCGGGAACATGCGACGAGAACATGGACGCTGGTTTGGGCCAGCAACTGTCATAGCAGTCAAAAAGTCAAAAGTTGTCTGGCTGGCACATGGTGGTCGACTGGTTCGAGCAAGCCCAGAACAGCTGCGACCAGCATCGCTTCGCGGAAATTGAAGCTGTGCCGGAATCCCAAAATGTAGGTGGTCTTCCTTCTCCAGAAAGTGTATCGGGACAGTGTGAGCCAGAAACTGGCCCAACGCCTCCGGAGAAGAGAATTTTCCTGTATTGTCAGACACCCAGCGGCAGGAGCTTGAGCGGAATGTTCAGATTCCAGTTCCCGAAGGAGAATCAGACGCTATGGAGTTTGGGGATGTCTTAGGTTCTTAGGGATGGGTTTTCCTTAACTCTTGCCGCCTGGCTCCCGCTTGCGCACTACAACACCCCAAGGAGATTTGTCCTTGTTACTGCAAATTGGCACTTTGGCCAAGCCGTGATGGCTTTTTGCGTCTATCCCATCAGCCAGGATGGCGCATTTACAGCAAAACCATAATTGGGGATGATCTAGAGCCTACAGGGGATGACCAGGTAGAAAGTTGTGGTAGTGAGATCTGTTGGGAAATCGAGATCAATCCCCCCGAAGGTTGGAATCTCCCAAGGGAACTGGATGAGGACATGATTTGTCTTGCCAGCGAGGGTAGGAAGAAACGAGTAGAAGTAAGACTGCGAGACCTCACAGTCAAGGAACAACAGCGCTTTGCAGCTGCCAAGCACAAGGAAGTAGGGGCACGGCTGTCTCACCGTACTGTCCTAAGGGTAGCCAAAGGACGGATCCCCGAAAAGAACATTATGAGGTGTCGTTGGATTTACACCTGGAAGTCCGCAGAACCGGAATCAGAAGCAACTGCAGACGGTCGTAAAGCAAAGGCTAGGTTGGTTGTTTTAGGATTCGAGGATCCTGATTTAGATAAGGTACCCAATGATGCCCCAACCCCAAGTAAAGATGGCCGGCAGTTGCTCCTGCAGAAGGTCTGCAGTAACCGATGGCGTCTGTGCAGCTTTGACATCAGCACAGCTTTCTTCCATGAGAAAGGGGACGGAAGATTGTTAGGGATCCATGCTCCCCCCGAAGTTAGAGAGGCCCTTTCCATGGACGAGGGTGACCAGTGTGAATTGAAAGGCGGCGCCTATGGGCGCATAGACGCCCCGTATCCCTGGTATCAGGAGTTGCGGGGAGCTCTCTTGTAGCTCGGTTTCCATCAGTGTCCACTTGACCGGTGTGTCTATACCCTCTCAACAGAAGACAGTAACGGGGTTCAACGTTGCCATGGAGTTCTAGGGGTACACGTAGATGATGGAATTGGCGGGGGAGACTCATATTTCAGGGAGGTTCTAGAGCAGTTGAGGGCGAAGTACAGTTTTGGCTCTTTTGAAGAGGGCTCGTTTGTGTTCACTGGCATTCGCGTTCATCAATGGGACGATATGAGTATTGAACTCGATCAGGTAGACTACATTGAGAAGACAGATCCCATACAGATTCCCCGGGATAGACGTAGGGAACCCGAAAGTCTCATTGATGAAAGCGAGCGCAAGCGATTTCGGCAGCTGATCGGGAGTCTCCAATACGCTGCAGTACACACCCGTGCAGACATCAGTGCTAAGGTAGGAGAAATGCAGTCAGCTGTCAATCATGCCACTGTGGCTCACCTTCTTGAAGCCAATACAATTTTACAAGAGGCCAAACGTCATAAAGTGTCTTTGATGATTGTTCCTCTTCAGGAGAGTAGGGTAACTTTCTGTGCGTTTTCAGACGCATCTTTTGCGTCCAGTAACAATCTGACAGCACATCAAGGAACAATCATTTTTGCAACCACGAATGAACTGCTAGAGAACAACTCAGCGGTTGTCTGTCCGATGGCCTGGTCATCCAAGAAGATCCCACGGGTTGTCAGAATGCTCTCAGTAATACTGTGGATCGTTTATCTTGGATTCGGGTGTTTTGGGCCTGGACGAAGGACTCCAGGACAAAGTGGCAAAGTCCCGAAAAACTGCTGCAGGAAGAGCCCACAGCAGCGGCAGTCACGGACTGCAAGCCCTTTTACGACAACATTTCCAGGACTGCCCCCCCAGAGTGTGCGGAGCATAGGACAACAATAGAGTGCCTCTTAATCAGGGAACGGATGCAGGAAAACTGTCGTCTGAGATGGGTGGCCTCTGGAGTCATGCTTGCTGACTGTTTAACGAAATCCATGGATGCTTCTCGACTGCGAGAATGCTTGGCCTCAGGGAGATATTCTCTGTTTGAAGAAGACATGGTTCTCCGACAGAGGTCTGAGAAACGGAAGCAACTGAACTGGATCAGGAAACCTGATGAACAGTCCTCAGCGGAGTGCTTGCACAGTTCGCACGACAAGACCGACTACTGGAGGATAGATAGTGAACGTAGATGGGTTGAGCGGGTTCATCGTAGGCCGCGGTGGGAAAGGTTTACTCCCATAGGGGTTGGTGAGTGTCCTATTGACTTTAAAGAGTTTGGGTTCCATCGTACTACGTTTGCAAATTTCTCCTCCGGAAGACGGCAGATTATGAAGACATCTGGGTAGGAACACATGCCCATGACCGCGAAGTGGAGTCATGGACTGGAGTCACGCGTTTCAGTTTAGAACCACCGAAGGCAGCAGCAGCAGCTCTTTTAACCATTTAAGAAATTCACATGTTTAGTGTGTGCGATTCTCCTACAGGTGAGCTGCTGTGGATGCCCTCCTCCCGCTGCCATTCCAGCTCTGACGGGGGAGGGTCGGGTAAGGCAGGGCCTTGTGGTGAGTTCAGTGCCATCTCTGGCGCCGGACGCCCCGTGGATAGAGGAGAAGGAAGAGAAGAAGGAAAAGAAGGCGCGGCAGCCCAAGCCGATGCCCGGTGGCCCGGTCCCGGTCCCGCCCATGGTCTGGTTTTGGTGGCCCGGTGGCCCGGTCCCGGTCCCGTCTGTTTTGCTGGTCTGGTTTTGGTGGCGGTGGCCCGGTCCCGGTCCCGGTCCCGGTGCCCTTCGCAGCGGCTAGCATCCTGTCCGGTCCCGGTGGCCGGGTCCCAGTCCCAGTAAAGCGGATCACCTATGCAGCAGGAACCATTATATCAGACAAAAACAGGAGCCAAAC